AGGATAACTTTGTAAGGAAAAGAGAAGAGAGATGAGTTGAAGGGAGAAAAGTTTGTAAAAGGAGCCCAGGTAGGGAGTGATATGTGTGTCTGTGTGTCTGTGAATGTGTGTCTGAGAGAATTTGGCTCAGAAGAAAATGCCCATGCTTCCCTCATCTACTAGCATTGAGAGGAGGTGCGGTCGAAAGAAAGAAACCTGAGCTTTTTTTCCCTGGGCAGGAAATTCAAAGGAACCAGAGAGAAATTAGCTTCATTCTGTAAGGACTAGAGGAGGGAAAGAGGAGGAAGATTAAGGAGGAAGAGTGTGGAAGATCATACACAGTGGGTGGGGGGTGGGGGTGGGGAGCAGAAAGCCAAATTGGAAGGTGAAGGAAGCATCAGACTGCAGGTTACGATGAAGGAGAGCCTTAGTGGAAGTTTAATGTCCTGACAAAGCAGCTGTCCCAATCCAAGTGACTACAGTACTTTCATTAGCTGTCTCCTCTTCTTGCCTCACTCCCCATCCCTATTCTGGTGTGACACCTCCTCCCTCTATATTAGCTTGCAGTTCTGTGGATGAGCCAGGGGAGGTATGCTGGGCTTAACGGTCCTGGGAATGACAGTTGTGGTTCTGACTGGTGGGGGTGTTCAGCGTGGCAGACTCGGACCTGGGCTGGGAACATAAGCAGTCCTTGGTCCTCAGGCGGCAGATGAACCAAGTGTCTGCAGAAGGAGAACCTTGCTGGCTGGGGACTAGGGCCCGAAGACCCCGAGCTGCTCCCCTGCATCATCTCTTCGGGGTTTACCCTAGCAGAAGAGTGGACTACTTGCATCCCTACCCCATCAGGGAACAGAGAAGCCCCTCTGTAGGAAATAGTAAGCCTGGCACTGAGGCAAGGGTTACAGATAATTTTCATCGAGATGAATCTCAAAGGCGAGCAAGGAATATACCCACACTACTGAACAGGAGTCGAGGTGGGGGCATTCTAGTTCCACAGACAGGGGACAATCCTAGTGAGCAGTCTGATGACATTCACTTTGGGAGTCAAGGCTTCTTGGAGTCTCTGAGTGAGTCTGGGACCAAAGAAAGAGCTGCTGTCGGCACTGGAGCCCCTTCACACCCACAAGGATCAGAACCACAATCCCAAAGAAAGGGGAAAGTGAGGGTCAGACATCGGAGACAGGCACAGGAGAAGAATGCAGAGAACTTGGGGGAAAACCCCAGCTGGGGAGGAGCAACCTTGAACTCCCAAGAAGGGTTGCCTATCCTGTACTTCTCTGGGAGGCGGGAACAGCTGTTGGTTCACCCAGAGGTGATGGTTGAGATTCCCCGGGAAGCATTCACGATTGAAGCCTGGGTAAGACCAGAGGGAGGGCAGAACAACCCAGCCATTATAGCAGGTAAGAGACCCTCTGCTTTTCCATGGTTCTAAGTCCTTGGATAACTGGGCACTTGCCCTGCTCATGTGCTGATTGAGCAAGGTGGGAGAGTGCAAAGAAAGCTGGTTTTGGAGTCAGGGGACCTGGGTGCAAATCCTGGCTTAAGAGCTGTGTGACCCGAGAAAGTCACTTAGCCATCTCTGGGCCTCAGTTTCCTGATGTGTAAAATGAGGAAAATGGAATAGATGATTTCAAAGGTTGATTCCAACTCCAAATCCTATGTAGCTGGAGGAACAGTCAGGGGTGAGGAGAAGGAGACAAAATACAACAGAAGCTAAGAATGGAGGTTAGAGGTAGGAAGGTGGGGAAGATTTTTATTCTTTCTACACAAGATGAGCCACATATCTAATGATCTCTATGGCAGTGATACAGTTGTACTTGCTTTAATCCATTGGGTTTCCCCAACTCTTTTCTGAAAGTTCCTTTCCCATACCAGACTTTTCCACCAAATTCTCTTGCCTTTTTCTAGAGAGACAGGACATTCTTTGGCTCTTGGGTGGCAAGACTGATGAGAGATGGGGTGGGGAGGTGACAGCCTTCAAAGACAGAGGGACTATAGGAACTTCTCTGGGGAACTGCACCCAGGGCATGGCAGGGATATTGGAGAGGGACCAGTGGACCTTGGCAGAGGAAGTTATCTGTCCACAGATTCAGGGAAACCTTCTTTAGCTCCCAAGCACGATGTGACTAGAATACAGACAGCAGACCCTAGTGGAAAGAGCACACACCTGGAATAAGTTAACTGGGTCCTAGTCTTGTCTCTGCTACTAACTGCGCGACTTTAAGCAAACTTGTCCAAGTCTCAGTTTCTTCTTCTGTCAAATGGGATCCTATCCTCCTATTCCTGCCAGTTGTAAAATGAGGTTCTATATGTGGGGTGTGGGAAATATATGAATAGCTCCACATTTTACAAATCCTACCTGCTAAGTAGGTGAGTGGGAGGAAGGGCATCTGGAGCACTTTGAATGAAAAATTGGCTTGATACTTTACCACTTTCTATTTTATAACTAAAAAAAATAGGACCATAATCCTCAGAATGATCCTGGCTGCATGGTAGACAACAAATACTTGATGATCTGAACTAGTGACTCTTTGCAACAGGGAGGTCTCTGAACCAAGAAGGAAGGATTAGGTGTTACCATGTCACAGATGGGAAAACTGAGGCAACAAAATGTATTAGCTGGGTGACTTGAGCTTCAGTTTCCTTCAGTATAAGATGAGAGAGTTGGAGTAGATGATCAATTCATGAAATTCAGAGCCAGAAAGGATCGCAGAAGTGCAGATCCATTTTAAAGATGAGGAAACTGAGGCCCAGAGAAGTTAAGTAACGTGCCCAGCGTCACAAAGCTAGTGAGTAGCATAGTTGGGATTTGAACTCAGATCTCCTTTCCCCAAATCCCGCTACTGTCCTTTCCACTCTACCACTCAGTCCTATAACATTCCATATTTCTCTAGTTCTAAGAAGTGAACTGTTTGGACAGGCAACTGCTTAAAGGGCCATAGCTTCTTCCATAGTTGGGGGGAGCTGTAAAGTCAAGGAGAAGTTTGCAATCTGCAGGAAAGAGGAGTTGAGCAAGACTTTCTTGATCACCTAGGTATTACTAGGACACTCATTCCTGGTGCTATTCCTCTTCTTTCTCTCCTGCTTTGATTGCAATGGCACCTTTGGGGACTGGGATTCTCAGAAGATGAGCAATATAATTTTTATTCTTCCCTCCCTGCTCCCTTCCTTTTTGGATGTTGGGGAGGGGAGTCAGGATGGGCTGGAGGTTGGGGAAGGTGGGGGGAAAGAGGGGGAATCCTTCTTCTGGTGCCAAGATGATGAAATAATACAATAAGATGATTCTCTGATCAGGGCTGGCTGTGTTACAGCTTTCCCCTCCTCACTGCCTCCTCTTCTGCCAGAGAGACTGCTCTCTTGCAATTTGACCCAAGAACAGTAACTTTGCTCTTGCAGTAGCAGGAAAAGGGGACCTGGGACCAGTTCCCTGGCTGGGTAAAAGCAGAGAGGAATCCAAAAAAAAATTACAAAGAAGAAACTCTCAGAGCCCACCACACTTAGAAAGTGTTCTGGGAACCTTGGAGCACTACAGACATGTGAGCTGCTCTAAATTTTTAATACCTTGCCCTGGAGAAAGGCAATGCGTTGCTACCTGCCACCAGCCCTTAGGTGTCCTCTCAGATTGTCTTTGAGGAGTGATAGCTGAGATTCTGGTCCTCTCACCTTTTCTGTTTGGGTGTATGTGGGCTTGGGCACTGATCCATTTTCTCATGGCTTCAGATCCTTCTTGAAAGTACTTATCTAAAGTTTCTAAACCCATTGGTTGTCCAAAATTGGCCGCAAATTCCCTTCTCCCCTTTTTATTATTGGGCAAGCTACCCTGTGAGGCTTCATGTCTGATCAATCTGGAAAAGGCTTGCTGCCCCTGTGGCAAACAAACTTTCCATTTTAGGTCTCTCCTCTATCCTCTTCCTAAAAGGATGGAAGGAGAGAGAAACCCCCATCAACAGGAAATAAAAACTACCCTCATCTTTTCCCACTTTCTATCTAATTCCATTTAATGGGCTTATTCATTAAACAATTTTTAAAAAGTTGACATGTAGAACAACGGTATGGATCCCATTGGACAGGTGGGTGCTGATGCTGGGTATTTACCCTTGGGCTTTGCCAACCAGGCTGCCAAGAGGGTTAAAAACAGTATGGCTTAAATAAAGCCAGGAACTAGAGGCTGCTCCTAGATTCATCTAGATGACAAGCTAGAACTAGTCAGTCAATAGGGCCCTTTCCCCCTCTCTGATTCCTTTCTACTGCACTTTGCTCTAAAGAGCCTCATTTAGCTACGGCTCCTTCGATGGAGAACCATGAAAACTACGAGCCTCCTCCATGGACAATATAGGCTTATACTTGACTCCTTTACTATCTTTCCACAAAACCTGCCATACACTTCTCACTTCACCCCGTCCAGAGTTCTGCTGGAGAAATACCATCCAGTCCTAAGCCAGCCTTAAAGCAAAGAGTGGTGAGCAGACCATATTACTCCTAATGCTTTATTCCACAGCCCTCCACACTTCAGTCCCAAAGTCCTCTCACTACAACCAGTACTCTCTGGAATACATGGCATATTTTACTTGGCCTCCAAGTCTCACTAGCCCCTGGAGAGAGGAACCCCAAGAGAGGCCGGGCCTTTGGGAATACTTCCTGCGTGTGACACTAGGTGGCAGTGTTGCTTCATGCACAGGGTGGCTGGCACCAGTCCACAGATCCTGTCGGGGGAAATGTCAGTTTGGGTCTGCACCTAGCTTGGACTGATGCCTTGGAATGTTTGGTTCTTCCTAGGGGTGTAAATAGTCCTACCTGGTGGAGGTGGGGATGGGAAACTCCAGGAAGTTTACATCACAACGCCATGGTGACTGGTGAAGGTGACATTCTTGGGTTGTGGCTGGCTGGGATGCTGCACATTTAGCTACTTGTGGGAAAAACAAAGTACATATACACATACATTAATTACACAAACTCCTCCCTGCCCCCACCCCTTCCCCCAACCTACCCACCCCCCGCTAGCATGGTACATTTAACTCCAATGTATCTTAACAGTGTCGTTTTATTTAGGGATGAGGACTTTGGGTTCATTCTGTGATTCATACATCCCAGGCCCTGAGAATTTCTGACGTTCAATGGGAGAGGACTAGAAGAACCTGGCTTAGCTTCCAAACCAGAATCCAAATCCTAGAATCTCAGATCTGGATGGCATCTTAGAGGCTATGGGTTCTAACCCATGCCTGATCTCCTCTACAATTCCCTGACAAATCGCCCCAGAGCCTCTGTTCCAAGATCTTCAATGATGTCAGTCCATTCTACCTTGGAACAGAACTATTAGGAATTTTTTCATTATATATCAAACCAACAAGTCTTGACTTGTTACTAGTTCTGGCCCCAGGGCTAAGCAGAACAAACCTAATGCCTCTTCTGAAGAGTGCTAATTTTTTTTTTTTGTAAATAGTACTTTCCCCCCCAATTATATGTAAAGATAGTTTTCAACATTCATTTTTAATGAGATTTTGAGTTTCAAATTTTTTTCTCCCTCCCTCTCTACTCCCCTCCCCCTCCCCAAGACAGCAAACAATCTGATATAGATTATGCATGTGCAATCATGTAAACATATTTTCACGTTAGTCGTGTTGTAAAAGAAGAAACAGAATGAAAGGGGAAAGCTGCAAAAAACCAAAACCAAACAAAAAAAAGTGAAAATAGTACTCTTCCATCTGCATTCAGACTCCATAGTTCTTTCTCTGGATGTGGATAACATTTTCTATCATGAGTCTTTTGGAATTGTTTTGGATCATTGTATTGCTGAGAAGCAATCCTAGTTGATCATCATATAATGTTGCTGTTACTGTGTACAATGTTCTCCTGGTTCTGCTCACTTCACTCAGCATCAATTCATGTAAATCTTTCCAGGTTTTTCTGAAATCTGACTGCTTATTATTTCATATAGCACAATAGTATTTCATTACATTCATATACCACAACTTGTTCAGCTGTTCTCCAACTGATGGGCATCCCTGCAATTTCCAATTCTTTGCCACCATAAAAAGAGCTATCATAAATATTTTTGTAATGTAGGTCCTTTTCCCTTTTTTGTGATCTCTTTGAGATACAGCCCTAGAAGTGGTATTGCTAGATCAAAGGCTATACACACTTTGATTGCCCTTTGGGCATAGCTCCAAATTGCTCTCCAGAATGGTTAGATCAGTTCACAATTCCACCAACAATGCATTAGTGTCCCAAATTTTCCACATCTCCAACATTTATCATTTTCCTTTTCTGTCATATTAGCCAACCTGATAGGTGTGAGGTGGTACCTCAGAGTTGTTTTATTTTGTATTTCTCTAATTGATATTGACTTAGGGCATTTTTTTTCACATTACTATAGATAGCTTTAATTTCTTCATCTGAAAAC